CATTTATAATCGTATATATTGGTAAGCTTCAGATTTTCAATGACAATGACATCAATAACATTTATTACGATCAAATGATAGTAACAACACTTACTCGCCTTCTTGTCAACCATTGCCTAACAGCTCCAATAACCTAAATGTATTCCTAATACTCAGGATAATATTGGTCAATGACTTACAATAATCAAAGTGCAGACCCTGTCACTGGTTAAAGGAATCAAGCCTTTTCTAATGTTCAAAACGTAAATTTGTCTCCTAATAGTCATTTTTCCTCGAGCACTCAGCATCTACATACTGAAAACATACTTTAATTATAAATATTTGGAACTTAAAATTGTCGCCAAGTGGTTTACCAATAGAATAATTATTTTATAATATAATGACTTTACGGTCGTTTGAAGTAATCTGAATACTTTATAGACGAGGAAAGCCCGCGAGTGGACGAACAGTTTGAGTCAATTATGTTGCCTGATTATTGGTCGATCTTTTGTTATAGATTTGGGGCCAAAACGGTTTACAAGCCTAACTGTTCATTTTGTCTCTCGAGGAATCAATCAAAAAACTTAATACTGATGGATCATAACAAGGACCCACTGTAAGAATTGAAATTCAAACAGATGTGACCTATAACCCTGTCTTACAATCACCTGTTGAACATAGCAATAAATTTCACATAGGAAAAATTATGATACAAATATTGGAAGTTGTACTCCCAATGTATATCGGATTATATACCCAAAATTGCCACTCCATAAATGGTGGGAGATATATATTCAATAACGGAACGAAATATTTAATGTGTCCTCTGTTGATCATTCCAAACCTAAGAGATCAATTCAAACCAACTCTTCAAAGTAAAAAAATTGTGCCGAAATATTTGTATTTCGACAAAATTTTCCCATCTTAAATATATGCGTTAATGCGCGAAAGTATCGTTGCTGGAATGAAGCAAATTTGAGTTCCGATGGAAGTAAAGCCCAACACAATTGTTCTAATTATACCAATTTCAACCATGCTAAACCCATGTAGGGACAGCTGATGGTGATACAAAGTGTCTTTGGGTGGATCAATATAAATATGTTCATTAGAGGCAATTCTAAAAACATAGAATTGTTCATTATACAATCTTTATACCAAACTTTGATTTTAAGAATAGATTTTTGGAAATAATTTGATCTACTACAGAACTTGTGGTGTATTTCTGGCATTATTGCCTTAAACATTTTCCTAACTTCGAGTTGCAAGACCTGAGCAGAATAACCTTTGTAAATCATTCCATTGATGATAGCAATTAAGCAGGGATTTTACCAAGTTTCGCCGTAGAAAAGCTTATGTTTGAGTAAATGGAAAGAATGTTCATGATGGGAGTGATTGAGCCATCCTCATAAGGATATATAATTGGAAATTGTGGTATAACAAGTGGCCTGGAGAATGTTTCTTCAATTCTAAACTGACCAGTACCAAAGAACCTGAACTTATCAACCACAACTTTCGCTATTACCGAAGTTCTATCCACCAAAAGAAAGGGCAAAGTCATTGTTGACCTCACCCTCAGTGTTGATTAATCCCGTTAAAAAAAATTGTTTGACTTCGGGATAGGGACAGTTTTAGTGCAACACGATGAGCACGAAATCGAAAAGTGAATTGCTTTTATGAGCAAGAAATTGAATAGCTTTTAATGTAAATATTCAGTTACGGAGAGAGAATGTCTGGCCGCGATTGAAGCATTAAATAAATTTCTATGTTATTTGGAATTGCAGGAGTTTGAAGTGATATGCTCCACCAGCCGATTAAATGTTCACTCTACTAGTTTTATTAAACGAACATAGTTTTAAATTTATAAAAGTGGCGTATGGGAGAAATCAAAACCCAGGTAACGCTTTAATGTTTTTATCCCCTTTTGAAATGACAGACAACACACATATTAACTTTCCTTCCATTCTACATCTTTATTGCATGGCAAGTGAATTCAGGTACCTCTAGGATTCTTGGATAATTCGGTCCATAATTAGGTTTGAGGATTGTTTATGAAACAACGCGCACTCTTCTGCTTGTGTGTTATATTTTGCAGTTGAATTTGCAGTGGGAATAAACAGAATAAAATGTTATCTGTAAAATAATAAAAAGTAAAGTACACCAGAGTACTGAAGCCACTGTACTGAGGCAGGGGAGTGGTAACATTCACCTGACATCAGTTATCTTATCCGACTCTCCGGTACCACCACCAACGACGGAGCTGCACCGACTGGTGAAGGAAGCACAGAAAATAGGTAATGATGTACTAATTGGTAGTTATGCTAACTCACATCATATTGCGTGGGTAGTACTAATACTAACAAAAGGGGCAGACCCTTCCAGATTATTTGATCTAATAACCCTTAATATAGGTGTTAAAACATACATAAATATTTTTTTTATTGTTCTATAAACATACTTTAGATTTAATTACCAAAACAAACAATAAATACAAAATCAAGCACACCTACATATTTATAAGTTCTAAACTGCTTATACAGCATTATTATGTCACATATTTGGACTATTTTATTGTTACAGTTAATTTTCTTTATTTTAGTTCATCGGCCACTAGTTCATTCACTTTTGCAATGTTTTATAATTTTCTTTAACACATTTATTTATTTTGCTTACATAGCATTTAATGTCTACTAGTAGCCGACCTACATTACTATTAATTTATCAGCATTTATCAATAGCATTTTGTAATTAATTATGTTAAGAAATTTTGTATATAAAGAAAGCCAGAAATAAAGAAAATTCAGTCGTCTTTTGTAGTGACTAAACTAAGAGTTTTAATTACTATTTAGGCGGCTTCCTTCAAGTTCATGTGCTTGCAAGGAAATTAATTTGGATACTAAGTGTCAGTTCAAATTTATGTGTTTGAATTGAATCCCACTAGATCCTGCTATCAAAACATTTTTGGTGACCCCGACGTGATCCTGACGGTAACTAAACCGAAACATTTTTGGGTGACGTTATCCACAAGGTGTGAGGACGTAACGTACGCGTACCAATTTCAAAGAAAACCCCGTTTGGAGTTGTGAAGGAAAACCAGGAGGAAATTGCCAAGAACAATTTTTCCAGGAGGAAATTGCCTGTAACTAATCATCATACAACAACTGCTGCTACTCGCTGATAAATCAACAAACAATAATGGTAAACGTCCAAGAGCTTATTTCTCAGCAAGAAGAAAGAGGCAGTAATTTCGAAAAATTCGTCTCTACTATAAAGAAGGCACCTCTTGAAAGGAGAACGGAAGAGTTCTACAAGAGCAAACTTGATGAACTAAGGCTGTTATGGCAGAATTTTGAGAAGGCAGGAAACAGAATTCGCGATGATCCATCATTGTCAGAGGATGATCCGTATATTGCTCGGAATCTATATAGAACGATTGGAGAGAAGTTCAGCTCAACAATGGAATATATAGACGCGGAAATGAAGAAACTGAGGTCAGCCAAAAGTAAGCCAGTTCCCACCTTGAGAGAGAAATCGACTGAAGTTGTCGCAGGAGACAAAATACCTTCCCGTGTTGATGGACTTGTCAGAATGATAAATGCTCGAATGAGTGCCCTTAGTCGTCACTTGCAAGGCTTGGGCACAATCGAAGCGGAACAGCCGAAGCAATTTTATAGCATCAAAGAAGATACTATAAAAAAGCTATGGAATCAAATAACGGAGCTCTACGATGAAATATTGCAGCAGATTGAAGATCCATCGAAAATTGGATTAAGTCAAGAAAACTACGATATGCTGGAAGATTCGGTACAAGACAACTTAATAAAACTAGCAGTCTTGAAAGACAAATGCAGCGAAACTGTGACCATTGCACCTCAATTAGGGAGTGACGTTATAGCACACAGTTCACTCCCACTACCAAAGATAACAATTCCTCAATTCAATGGGGATTGTTTGAAGTGGCGTCAGTTCTATGAACTTTTCTTGGAGATGGTAGACAAACAGTCTCTTCCAAGTGTTCAAAAAATGTGGTATCTCAAAACCAATTTGTCTGGCGAGGCTGGGAAACTAATCAGTCATCTATCCTTGACAGAGGATAATTACAAAACGGCATGGATGTTGCTGCAAGAACGTTATAACAATAAGTTTCCACTCTAGTAGAACGGATTCTGAGACAACCAAATGGAACTTCATCAACGGCTTCCATCAAGGCTCTGCATGACACTACAAAGGAATGCATGCTAGCCCTCAACAATCTTCAAATCGACACAACGTCTTGGGATGCTCTATTGATTCAATTGATCACAAAGAAATTTGATCACGCTCTGTACATACGATTCATGCAATCACTGGCGAATCCGAAGGAAGTTCCTACTATGAAGGAGCTGTTTGCATTTTTGGAACTACAATTTGAGTCAATGGAATCGATTGGAAAAGCGGCATCTACTCACAAGGGTTCAATCAAAACTGTTTCGTCCGTAACATCAGTGGAGGATCACAGGAGTTGTAAACTATACAAGAACGACTCCCATCCAATTTATCATTGTAAGAAGTTCTTGGCAATGACAGAAGGTGAGCGATTGAAATGGATACAGCAACATAAATTGTGTGTAAATTGTTTCAAATCGGACCATGCAGCAAAAACTTGTTTTTCTGGCAACTGCAAAATATGTAGTAATAAGCACAATACATTGCTACATTTGCCAAAAAAGTCTCAACCGTCGCCGAAGGCCTCAAATCAATCACCACCAACAAAAATCGATATCGCACCAGTCAACATTACTGCAGTTTCTTCGGCATCAGCAGAAGATCAGAAAAATGTAATCCTAGCAACGGCTAGAGTCATCATCAAGGCGGCTAACGGTATGTCAGGCGAATTTAGAGCGGTGTTAGACTCGGGTTCGTAAGTGAACATTGTGACGGAAAGACTCATACAAAAATTGTCACTTAGAACAGCAGATGCCTCTTTATCTATTTCCGGAGTCAGAAGGATTCAAAAGAAGGCTTATCATCGGGTAAACATACAAATGTTATCAAGCAATTCTGAATTTTCCACAAATTTGGAAGCATTTGTTTTGCCCACAATTATACCTCCGCAACCAAATCATGATTTGGATATACAAAACTGGCAAATTCCCAAGAATATTAGATTAGCAGACCCTAATTTTAACGTTCAAGGAAATATTGACATTTTACTCGGAGCTGAGTTTTACTTCAGTTTAATGCAACCAGGCACAATAAAACTAAATGGTCATCAGCCCATACTCCAAAATACTGCGCTTGGCTGGATTGTAGGTGGTTTAATTCAACAATCGTCAACGGACGACACACCAGCAGCGCTAACATGCACAATTTTTAGTGAAACATCACTGGAACAAGCTATACAAAAATTATGGAAACTTGAGGAAGTGGAATCAACTGAAAAGGTGATGTCCCCATTGGAAACCCTTTGCAAATCTCACTTCAATCAACATGTTAAGACGGATCAGAATGGTCGTTTCATCGTCAGTCTTCCGTTTCAAGAATCTCCAACAGCATTGGGGAAATCACATGCAATGGCTTATAACCGATTTATGAGTCTTGAACGCCGACTTCTACAGAAGGAAGATATCCGAAGTCAATACATTAAATTTATGCGAGAATATGAACAATTAGGGCACATGCAAAAGATTGACGTGTGTACCGTATCAAATCCTAAATATTTTATTCCGCATCATTGTGTTCTTAAGCCCGATAGTACAACAACAAAACTTAGGGTTGTATTTGACGCATCAGCGAAAACTTCATCAGGTCAATCGTTAAATGATCTAATGCACACAGGACCTTTCGTGCAAAGTGAATTGTTTTCTATTTTGCTGAGGTTTCGATTGCCAAAATTCGTCTTCACAACCGATATTGAAAAGATGTACAGGCAGATTTTAATGCATCCCGACGATCAAAGGTATCAGCTAATTATCTGGAGAGAGGATCCATCCCATCCAGTCAGTTATTACAAACTTAATACGGTCACATATGGGACACGTTCAGCACCGTATCTGGCTACAAAATGCTTACAAAAGATTGCAAACGAGAACATGGAGCGTTATCCATTAGGCTCACAAATGCTGAAAGATAATTTTTATATGGATGACGGTCTCGGCGGTGCAGATAGCCTAAGTAAAGCTATTGAAATCCAAAAGGAGTTAATAACAATCTTGAAACAACACGGCTTCATTCTAAGGAAATGGTCATCCAATACACCAAGATTGCTGAAGGACATACCACATAACGATCGAGAAGTGAACCTGGATCTCAACGAATCTCAAACAATAAAGACGTTGGGATTATATTGGATGCCGCAAGCAGATCAATTTTGTGTAAAAACAAACATTGATCATAATGAAATCATATCAAAACGAGTAGTTGGCGCGGCTATTTATATTCGTTTTATTGGAAAAGATGGACGAGTAGTTGTACGTCTGATCTGTGCTAAATCCAGGGTAGCTCCTTTGAAAAAACAAACTCTACCACGATTAGAGCTATGTGCCGCAGTGGTAGCAGCTCAACTGGCTACCAGGGTGAAAAATGAGCTAAGGCTTC